GGCTGGGTATGTAATTTTGATACAGACAACTTGCGCATATGCAAGCCTGCACATCTCAAGGATCGATGAATCGTTGTTAGGTTCATTGAATTCCAACATAAATAATGGATACTTGGCATGCGACTTTGCATAGGTGTCAGCCTACCAACTGGTGCCAACGTGCACTTCTTAAGCTTGAAAGATTCGGCTATTACCTTCCACCATGTATTTTAGACCCAGCTGATATAAACTAATGGCCAATAATTGAGCATCTTAATTTTGACCTAGTCTATCTTTGTTTCCTGCACCTTGGTTGTTGACTATTCTTTCTCTCACTTCCAAGGGATCCCTTCCACAGCTCCCACAATCATTTCCCTCCTCTTCTGCTTCTTCTGCATCCCACAAAAACTGAGTTGAGGTGCTCTGCTCTGCTGATTTTCGGTACTCTTTGCTTTCAGAACTTCATTTCTGATTGAACGTGAATTACCCTTGTCTTCCTTGTTCTATTTGAATACAGAAACGAAACTCAAAAAAGAATTTCTCATGGTCCTGTTTTCATTTGTGTCCTCTTCTCTTTCTGTGATCAATTCCCGTGGAGTTAGTTTTGTTTCCCTTGTGACAAAACCTTATACTTCTTCTGAAACAAGTTCCGGAGAAGGGCTCTTCCCTGATAAAAGAAGAGACACAGTAAGCACTTTCTTGCAACTTTATCTGTTATAGCTTTATCTTTTATCTGTTCAAACTTCTTAACAAGCGGGCATATTTTCAGAACTCCAATCCGCTATAGCTGAAGTTATAGTACGTCATCCATATAGAGCGTGATATATGAAAAACTCAAAACGGTGCCCGGGCTCATCTGCTCCCTCTCAGCAAAAAATTCAAAAAAAATACTAGAAAAATTCAAAAAATTCCAAACTTTTTTGTGGTGGTAGATAATTTGACGCATGAGGTGCGCCCCAAAATTCAACTCATTTGGACATCTGAGCAGCTCTCGGCAAAAAAGACAAATCGGGTCAAAACAGTGCGTGAACAGTATACATTTTTACAGACCCTGATTTTGTCTTTTTTGTCGAGAGCTGCTCAGATGCTCAAATGAGCTGATTTTTGGGGCGCACCTCACGCGTCAAATTATCTACCACCACAAAAAAGTTTGGAATTTTTTGAATTTTTCTAGTATTTTTTTTGAATTTTTTACTAAGCGTGGGTGCAGATGAGCCCGGGTGCAGATTAGCCGCACCCGTGATATATATTCTACTTTGTCTTACGCTAGCAGATAATTCTCCTCTTGATGAATTTTTTAGTCTCTAGATACTCAATATGCTTCTGCCAGAAAACTGATAAAAACTTGTCCATTACTGTTGAAAAAGCAATTATTCAGAGGGGCACACCAACACCAAACTAAGGACACACCTGGCTACTATTGAAAAAAAATATTGTTACCAAGTAATTCAGTAATGCTCCCTTGTTAACTCCTTAATTATTTTGTTGATATGAACAGTTATTTCAAGTTTTTAGGCTCCACTGGTTATATTAACTCCTGTTAGAAGAAGATTTTGATATGTTTGTCAGTTCTTCCGCAAAAAGTAAAAAATATATGTTTGTGAGTTCCTAGAGAAGTTCTTTAAACAGAATGGCCCGAATACTACAATCAGTTGCTAGAAAAGTTCTTCACAGGGATCTGTTAGCATGTACAATTACAGAAGATAGATTTGGTCCCATCCAGTGTTCTTGCAAATAGTATAACACTATAAACTCGCACAAGTTCAAAGAGAATCACACAAGATTTCCCATCATCGTCTAACATCGGTGTCCTATTTGAATGCAGAAACAAAACTCAAACAAGTTCTTCTCGTGGCCATGTTTTCATTTGTGCGGTTAGGTCTCCTCGAGGAACATACATACCAAGATTAGTTCTCCTGGAGGAACATATATACCAAGATTGTTTTGTTTACCTGCAATTATTATAAGAGACACAGTAAGCACTTTGTTGCGAGTTTATTTGTTATTACAACAAGTGTTATCTCCACAATCGAACATATTTCCGCAACTCCTTTCTAATGCAGTCATATACTCCCTCCGTCCGGAATTGCTTGCCGGAAAATGGATGTATCCATTTCTCCAAGAAGTAATTCTAGACGGAGGGAGTATATAATACACCTTCCATATAGAAAAGTCCTTCATAGGGATCTGTTAGCCTGTACAATCATGCAAGACATATTGGGTTACAAGTAGTATAACAGTGTAAACTTGCACAAGTTCAAACATAATCACACAAGATTTATGAGTATTCAACATCTCAAAGCTTGTGCTTCATCTGCCATTGCATGCAGATGCAGTCTATGCTTTTCATAAACTTAATTGATTGGTGTTTTTACTTGCCATATACATCATTGAGACACAACAATTGTCTGCCTTGCAGTACTGATTCTTCGGACAAGTGCCAAAAATGCCAATTGAGGCACCGGCGCTTGGTCCCTTGCTCGGAAATACTGTCAACACGGTCATAAGTCCATTCTATACGCTCTTCTCCAAAAATGCCACGTATTGCTTCACCGCTCGCACAAACGTGACAAATCACAGGACTGAAACTGAGACTTTGAGTGGCAACTTGCTTCGCGTCAAATAGAGGATTGAAGATGGCGAAATGAATGGCCTGATACCGACAGATGAAGCAGAGGAGTGGGTGCAAAGGGCGGAGCAAGCCATATCTGAAGAAGCGGCAAACCGCGAGTCTTTTGATTAGAGGTGCAGAAGCTTTGGGTGCTCCCTGAATTGCTGGGGAAACTATAAAACCAGCAAGAAAGCGGCTGAGAAGGTGGATGTTGTGCGACAATATAACAGTAGCGTACCGGTACCAGATAATGTCACACGCGTACCACCTCCACCTCCTGTCGTAGATTTGTCCACCCACTCTGCTCAACTTCCGCCAAGCAGAGAGCGTACTCTCAAGAATGCTCTCATGTGCATTAAGGATGACCTCACGGTGGGAATGATTGGAATATGGGGTCCACGTGGAGTAGGGAAAACACATCTTCTCACAAAGATAAACAATTCATTTCTTGAATATTGCCCCTTTGATATTGTTATCCTTATTAAGGGCTTGAGTGAATGCACAGTGCAAAAAGTTCAATCTCAAATCATAAACAGGTTCGGTATAAACCAGAATGTTAATGTGACAGCTCAAATATATGAACTTCTCAAGAAAAGAAGTTTTCTGGTGTTGGTGGATGACCTTTGTGAGGAGATAGACCTTTCAGCAGTTGGCATTCCACACCCTCTTAGAGTTGTGGACCAAAAGAAGAGGAAGGTGCTAATCGTTTCACGATCACAATCCATATGTGATATGATGAGTGTGGATAAATATATACAAGTGCTTGGTTTGGAGGAGGAGGAGGCACACCAGCTATTTGAACAAAGTTTTGGTGAGGAGAATCTTTATACTGATCCCCTCGTCGGGGTACTTGCTAAGGATCTCGTGAGAGAACTAATTGGCCGACCATCAGAGCTGATACATTTCGGGAAGATGATGCGAAGAAGCAGAAATGAAAGGCAGTGGGAAGATGTCATTGATGCAGTAAAGAGATCAAACCTTCGAAAGGATAACCCATTATGTATGGTAAGTGCTTGCTTCGATACTAAAATTTCTAAATAGTATTAATGCCATTACTGAGTGCTAATATATGCATATTATTTTTAAACCTGAAGGCGGAAAGAATTATGGGAAGTCTCGAGGATTCCACCGAAGACTTGATCGCGAAAAAAAGGATGTATGTCAGAAGATTAAGAATGCTGAGCGGGAAGGCAAGAAATCAACAAATGAGGCCGACAGATGGCTGGAAAAAGTGGCCAAAATCATTGATGTTGTGCGTGTAATCTCTGTGGACTATAAGTTGAAGAAGGATGTTGCCATGGAGGCATCTGAGAAGCTTCGTGAGGTTCGAGAATGTCTTAGTATTTGTCCTAGTACTGTTGCAGTTGAGTCAATGCCACCTCATGTCCAAGAGATGCCTGGTCCATCTATGTCAGCTAAGAACCGTAACCTTCAAGATGCTCTCCAGTACATTAAGGATGATCCCAAAGTGGGAATGATTGGAATTTGGGGTCCAGGTGGAGTCGGGAAAACACATCTTCTCAAAAACATCAATAACTCATTTGGAGAGGGCATGGACTTTGATTTTGTTGTCTTTGTAACTGCCTCCAGAGGGTGCCAAGTGGAAAAGGTCCAGTCACAAATCATAGAAAGGCTCAGGCTGAAAAGTATTGGTCCTAATGGTCTTACTATACATGAGTACATGAAAACGAAAAGCTTTCTTGTACTATTGGATGACCTCTGGAACGAAATTGATCTAGAAGAAGTTGGGATACCATACCCCCTTGGAAAAGTAAACAAACTCAATAGAAAAGTGGTGCTAACAACAAGATTAAGAAAAGTTTGTGGCCAAATGAAGGTGAAGAAAGAGTTAAAAGTCACATATCTGCAGGAGCATGAGGCATGGCAGCTATTTGAAGAAAATATTGGTGCCGAAACTCTTTCTAGTCCCCATATTGAAGCTCTTGCTAGAGAACTTATGAAGGGACTGAAAGGCTTGCCATTAGCTTTGATAACTATTGGAAATGCAATGTATCGGAAAGATGAGTATCAATGGGAAACTGCCATCCAATATATGCGGCAGTCATGCTGCGCTGATGACAAAGACCCAATAGAACTGGGAATGGAAACTAATGTTTTCAGGCGGCTGAAGTTTAGTTATGACAATTTGAGAAACAAGACCTTAAGAGATTGTTTTTTGACTTGTGCACTGTGGCCAGAGGATGAGAACATTCGCTAAGTTAACCTTGCTCAATGTTGGATGGGCTTAGGTCTAGTCAATGAGCATGACATATAATCTTCCTTCAGAAAATCATATAGTTTGATAGCTGACCTTATAGCTGCATGTTTGCTAGATGGCAGCGATGTTCGCCCAGGATCTTCCTTCGAAAATTCACATGGTTATGTTAAAGTGCATGATGTGATTCGTGATATGGCTTTATGGATTTCTTGTGACTGTGGTGAGAATAATGACAAATGGATTGTGGCGGCACCAGGTGACAGAGACAAAAAAGTTATTATCCTTTCGAGCAAAGCTGAGTGCATCTCCTTGATGTTCAACAGAATTCCTATCAGGTTTAATCTTGATCCATTAAAATTGAGGATCTTGTGCCTTCGGAACAACGAATTTGATGAAAGCTTAATTGTTGAAGAAATTAAGAATTCCAGTTCACTGACATATCTGGATTTGAGCGGAAACAACCTCAAGGGGATACCGGAAGAATTATGTTCCTTGGTAAAGCTGGAATACCTTGATTTGTCGGAAAATCAATTTGGGGAAACTGAAGTGCCTCCCTCCTTTGGAAACCTCATCAACCTCAAGTTCTTGTACCTAAAGTCTGGTATTGGTTCCGTGAGAATACCAGCTGGGGTCATGTCTAGCCTTAAAGCATTGCAGGTAATAGACTTGAGAAGTTTCTTAAGAAAATGTACCCAATTCCTATACCGAGAGTTGGGCACCCTATCTCAGTTGAAAGCGCTTGGTATTTTGGTCCGAGATTTAGCTCAGTTTGAGTCACTAGGAGAAGCGGATAGCCTCCCTGTTAGATATTTGGCTCCGAATGACGTATGTGCACTCACTCGTATTTTATCAATGGACTTTGCACGAAGGACCTTGTATGAAGTGGATATCAATGAATTGGATATTAATGAAGAATTTGACACTCGAGAAATAACAGTAGTACAACATGACACGGAACAACCAAACAACCATTTTGGTGCTCTCAACAAACTCAGCTTAACTTTTATGAGATCCTTGAGAGAGATAAAGTGGATGGGAGCAACTCCGGCATTTATATTCCAAAGGCTCACTTATTTGGAATTGTTTTTGTGCCAACAGCTATTGCACCTCTCTTGGGTTATGTATTTGCCTCGCCTTGAACTACTTCATATAATTTCCTGTGATGGTATGGTGCAAGCATTTATGAGGTGCCACGGTGACAAATTGTGCAATGGACAGGACAAGACAAAAACATTTCCTCGCCTCAAGCTTCTCGTTCTTATTTATACCAAATCGTTGGAAACTATTGGGGACAACGGTATGAAATTCCCATCCCTAGAGCGACTTGAGCTTGAAGGTAGTCTGGCATTGAAGAGGCTTCCTTTCTGGTCGGACAGTTTGCCTCCAAAGCTGAAGGAGGTACGGTTTGATGATGCTCGATGCTGGGAGAGACTGGAATGCGAAGAAAGTGTCAAAACTATCCTGCAACCCTATCTTAATTTTGGCAGACGATATCAGGGTTAAAAATTTCAACAAAATTTCATTGAATCTGATTTTTATGATTAGTAGTTAGTCCATTACATGATGTATGTAGTTAGTCCATTTCATGTTAAGACACAACTAGCAAACATTGTACGTAGGAAATATTCAAATTAATGCAGCCAGGATGTGCAGCTGTACATGCTTTCCTTTGCTTTTGGCGGAGCACCCCTCTTGTTCCAATTAAGTCTGATAAAACTTGTTCCTGCAGCAAGTGACACTCGCCGGCCTGGGTACAAGTGACAATAGAGATTGTTATAAGCACCAAAAGTACACATACATTCTATATATTTATTGACTTGTTGTATACTACTACTAGTTGCATATACATTGAGGATTTCAGAGGTTCAGATGCTATAACCTCTTAGTGCCTCTCGATCTACAGGGACAGACAGTGAGGTGAAATCGGGGGAAAGAAATTACATATGCCTTGCCTGGGAGAACAGAGAGGATCGGAGTGTCGGTGCGCTTTGTCGCCGCTTTGCTGCTAGAGGCTGGCCCTCGCCGGCTGCCGCGCCTAGCTTCCTGAGAGCCCTCGCCGCCGCGGCTGCTTCGCTGCCGTGCTGGACACCTCCACCGCTGCAGAGAAATGAGTTTTTTTTATAAAAAAAAAAATATCAGAGACGAGATGGGATGAGGAGTAGATCGATGGGCTCCAGTGTTGCTCATCAACTGCCCTGCTGGGCTGGGCTTCAGACTAAGGCCCAGTTTTCTTTTACACTTCTCGTGCAACTCATGGAAAATGAATGCTTAGAAATGGATTATCTAGAACTAAAAATATGTCTAGGTATATCCATTTCTACGACGAGTAATTCCGGACCAGCAAACATTTCCATTCACTGGGGCTGGGTGATGTATCGAACGAGGTCCAGCTGGCCCAATTGTGCAACACGTAGGAAAAAAAGGTGCTGGCCCAAAAATCTGATTTTGAAAAAAAAACAATTGTAAGAATTTTAATTTTTAAATGAGCCGATTTATTTACACCCACAAAGTTGGCACATTTAAAGTTATCACCCAAAAATCTTGTGTACAAAAAAAAAGTGGCAGTACAAAAAAATAAAAATGCCATCCTCTAAAATAATAAAACTATCATGCCACTAAAAATAAAAATGGCATCCTCTCAATAATAAAATTTTCATCCTATTATAAATAAAAATGGCATGTTCTTACTAATAAAACTGCCATGCCATTAAAAATAAAGATGCCATCCTCTCAAAAATAAAAGTGCCATCCTCTGAACTATAAAATTCTTAAAATTGCCAAGATAGTATGAAAAAAAGCAAAGAACTGCCAAGATAGTATGAAAAAGGAAGAGTAATAGGTTTTGCTATAAGAAAAGAATGAAACATATACGAAACAAAAATTGATTTTTTTACGTCCAAAGTATACTACAATACTATAGCATCTCAAGAGTATCACTAAACGTAGCTGTTGCGTGGTGGTAGCCGTCTACTTCTCTCCTCGAGAGGACGGCAGATTGAGTCCCCTCTTTTGCACATTTTTTGGTTTATTTTTTAGAATACGTACGCTTAGCACGTACACAATTCTATATCTACTTCAAAAGAATTTGAATTCAAAATTTAGTTATAAATTTCGTCCGAAATATGTTCGGTATTTCTCGGTAACCATGGTAACCGAGAATCTCGCCCAGCCATGAGAAAATTCGTCCATTCGGAATCCATAACCTTGGTCACAATCCATGTTATAAAAATCCTAAAAGGGCAACTACCTAAAAGTTGTACTCCCTGCAATCCATATTAATTGTCTCAGATTTAGTACTAAACTAGAAGGGCAGTGCGCTTTGCTGCACCGCTTATGTTCTTGGGGTTGGACATGTTTTATTTTTACGTGGTAATTTTTTCTAAGTTGTGAACATTATTTACGTGCTAGTTGGTTTGGCGTGTGGGGGAAACAATGAAGTGTGTGTTCTTTTTATCAGAGATGTTACACGTACCGACAAACTTTGTGGAATCATGGTTACAGATGGATGTGTCAATTTATGGTTGGAGATTAGGGGAAGCGTGGCCTTACGGTCAAATCAAGGAAGTGATTGGTGGGAGAGTATTTAATTAGTACGACCAATCCATAGTGAATTGTCCATGAGTGTATCATTTTTGTTATTTTATTATGGTGTTTGGGTGGATCTTTTTGGCCGTGCGATTGAAGGGCGTCTTTTAATTAATACAAATACATGAGAAAGTTACTTACATCGTTGGCCACATGTGTCGTAGGTGGCACTTCCTTCTGTTAAGGAAGGCCCACATCAATCCGGGCACTAAACAAGGGACCCATTAACCAAGAGATCCCACCATGAAGCCCAGATCAACGACCCAATCAATCGTGTATCCAATCCAAATTGAAGACCTAAGTTGAATGAGAGGGCTTCAAAATTAGAGAGCTTAATGAAGTTAAAGATTTTATTGCAACAACCAAGGATTGACAGAGTCAAAATCAAGGCTTAAAATTGTACACCTCAATGGAATGGGAGAGCTCTAAAATTAGGGAGCATAGTGTATTAAAAAATTGAGAATGAGCGAGCTCCTTGTGAAATTGTTGACCCGATCAAAATTGAATGATCCAATTTCAAATTGAAGACCTCAATTGATTGTGAGGCCTTCAAAACTAAGGAGTTTAGTGTTATAGAGGATGAGCGACAATTAATATGCTTCCGAGTGAATAGTTTTAGCAAAATTTTAGAACAAAAGTTGTAGCTTTTAGAGAAACGTTAAATGTGGTAGTTTTCTAAGACCAATACTTCTGAAGTTCTTGTTTTTGGTTACATATTCGAATTCTGATTTACAAGTCATGTAAGAAATTAGCAGGGACGGAGGCAGTCATTACTTGGAACTCTTTGTATTCCTTGTAAGTTATGCATTTGATCGCTTACTTTCTGGAAGCAAAAGAAACGCAGTGGTCTGCATTTGTTAACCCAGGAATGTTGCTATAGACATGACGTCATCTGCACGATGTTGTTAATCAAACCGTTGCTGTGAGGAAGCAAACTTCAGGACATCGTCCGATTTTGCATCGTGCATAAATCGGCGATGCACCCATTATGCGCAAAGTAGTTACGTTAACCCGCAGCTCGCGTGGAATCCGTCAGTGTGGCCACGCATGTAATGAATCCTCTGAACAACGCAGGTATATCTTCTGAAAGCGCATGACAGCAGGGAGACTACGTACTAGGGGTGTGGTACCTGGTCGCCGAGGAAAGCGTCTGAGAGCTGTAATAGCAAGCGAGGCCGCAGGAAGGAAGCCAGTGTGATGGTGTTTTACTATCCCGGGTTGTTGCGCAGGAAGTCCCCATGAATCATTTGCAATGCTGGAAATGATTGAAGGTGTATGAAATGCATTCGCTGGATAAATGGAAACGAGTTGAAAACTTGATGAGGGACGAGGAATACGTCGTGTGGTATTTACCTGGTATGGAACCCTTTCAACTAGCCCTTCAAGTATTGCATACAAAATATAGATTTCCGATTTATTTTTGATATCCGATATTGCAAGCTAGATCTTTCACTGACTTGCACTAATTTGCAAATTCTCTCTCTCAAGAGCATGACTATCGGATCAGGTAGGCAAAGATTCAGCGTGCCCGGGAAAAGGAACTATTGTTTTCGATTCTACGATTTCATTCAAGGTTAAATGCTTAATGTTTGCCCAAACAGAGTTAATTGCACAAAACTATCACATTGCGGCTAGGTTTGCAGTAATCCACCTAGTCGCTGATTTGTTGCAAAATTCACCGTGTTTCTAGTAATCTTTTTGCAGAAAACACTGATCAAAGGATTTGGCCCATTCAATCACTTGTTGACAGCTAGACCGAATTGTAATGAGCTGACTTGGCAAAGAATTAATATACACACCCCTGAAATAAAAAAGCGAAATCAAGTGCAAGCCGAGAGCGGTGGAAGACTGCGGCCGCGGCGATCTCGTCCCTCTTTTCCCTATTGAGAGTGGTTTTTCTACAACCACCCTCAGCGCACCCATGCAAAAAAAAAACATACCAACATATTTTGAAAATTTTTGAAACTCTGTGAAAGTGATCATCAACAAAAGTTAGAGAGGCTTGCAAAGTTTGGTGGTCAAATGACATCCGCGGAGCTCTATACAAAAAATATTACTCAAAATTAGTCAAATTGTATGTGCACTTTTTGACCAAAATTTTTATAATTTTTTTTGTACAGTTCTTCTTGGATGTCATTTGACCACCAAACTTGGCAAGCATCTCTAATATTTGTTGATGATCGTTTCCACAAAGTTTTAAATTTTTTCAAAATACTTTGATATGTTTTCTTGCGTGGGTGCATCGAGGTGGGATTCAGCCACTACTTTCCCTTTCCCTATTAGCTAGCCCAAGCCGAGCGCTCAGGCGGCCAGCAAGGAAATGCATGTCCACTGCAAGGATTCTGCCCGCGACCGCGAGCATGGATGAATAAAGGAGACCAATTGCTTTCTTGCCACGGCCGCCACTGCTTTGCCGTCACTCAAGGAAGGAACAAAGGCTTGCCAAGGAGCCTAAGCTAAGTACCACCTACTAACCAAGGCAACAGACACACACAGAGACACACTGTTGATTAACCAACCTTCGGCCTGAGCCTGAGAACAAGAAACAGAAACCATGGCCATTGTGCTGGATGCCTTCGCGTCCTATGTCGCTGACATGCTCAAGCAGGTGGTGGAGGACGAGGTGGGGATGCTTCTCGGCGTCACCGGCCAGATCGACAAGATGGGCGTCAAGCTTGGGGATCTCAAGAAGTTCCTGGCCGACGCCGAGAGGAGACGCATCGCTGACACCAGCGTGCAGGGCTGGGTGACCGAGCTCAAGCGCACTATGTACGACGCCACCAACATCCTCGACATCTGCCAGCAGCAAGGCCATGGAACACCATGCATCACGTATGGGGTGCTGTGTTAAGTTGTATATTTATGTACCATTTGTAACATTAACTGGCACGTTGTAACTATCCTAGATTGTAGGATCT